ATTCTGGAGACAAGGTGCAGTGTTTTGAAGACCCTGAAGTGACCTGCTGATGGACTATCATTTGTATTTTGTATTTAATTTTATTTATATGCCGCCCAATCCCAAAGGACTCAGGGCGGCGTACAGAGATTAAAACAATCATAAAACAATAAAATAATACAGTCATACTACAAGTCCGATCATATCCCCCACCCGGGGACATCAGCCCCAGGCCTGCCGGAACAGGAGAGTTTTAATGGCTTTCTTAAAGGCCGGCAGGGTGGGAGTAGTTCGAACCTCGGGGGGAAGTTGATTCCAGCAGGTCGGAGCCACCACAGAAAAGGCCCTTCCCTGAGGGCCCGCCAGCCGACATTGTCTGGCCGACGGGACCTGAAGGAGGCCCAATCTATGGGACCTCACCGGTCTCTGGGAACTGTGCGGCAGAATGCGGTCCTGTAAGTAACCTGGCCTTATGCCATGAAGCGCTTTAAAGGTGATAACCAACACCTTGAATTGTGTCCGGAGACCCACAGGAAGCCAGTGCAGCTCGCGGAGGATAGGTGACACGTGGGCGTACCTTGGCGCGCCCACAATCGCTCTCGCGGCTGCATTCTGAACCAACTGCAGCCTCCGAACGCCCTTCAAGGGTAGCCCCATGTAGAGCGCGTTACAATAATCCAGTCTTGAGGTGACAAGGGCATGAGTGACTGTGAGTAAAGCCTCCCAGTCCAAATAAGGCTGCAACTGGTGCACTAGGCGAACCTGTGCAAAGGTCCCCCTGGCCACATAGATGTTGTTCCAAATTTAGCTGTGAGTCCAGGAGGACACCCAAGTTGCGTGCCTGCACTGAGGGAGGTAAATTTGCCCCCCCCCCCAGGACTAATGATGGACCATCCAGTTTGCCTTTGGGAGGCAAGACCCAGAGCCACTCGGTCTTGTCAGGGTTGAGTCTAAGCCTGTTCACCCCCATCCAGACCCTCACATCTTCCAGGCATGGCACATCACGTCGACTGCTTCACTGAAAGGACACGGGGTGGAGATATACAATTGGGTATCATCCGCGTACTGATGATACCTCACCCCGTGTCGCCGAATGATCTCACCCAGCGGTTTCATGTAGATGTTAAAAAGGAGGGGGGACAGGACCGAGCCCTGAGGCAGCCCAGGATCGAGGCGCCTAGGGGTCGATCTCTGTCCGCCCGCCAACACCGACTGCGACCTGTCAGAGAGGTAGGAGGAGAACCACTGCAATACGGTGCCGCCCACCCCCACCTCTCTGAGACGACACAGAAGGATACCATGGTCGATGGTATTGAAAACCGCTGAGAGGTCAAGAAGCACCAGGATAGAGGAATAACCCCTATCCCGGGCTCGCCAGAGGTCATCGGTCAGTGCGACCAAAGCAGTCTCAGTGCTGTAGCCGGGCCTGAAACCAGATTGAAAAGGGTCCAGATAATTAGTTTCATCCAAGGATTGCAAGAGTTGGGACACCACCACCTTCTCTACAACCTTCCCCACAAAGGGGAGGTTGGAGACGGGACGAAAGTTCTTCAAAACAGCTGGGTCCAGCGAAGGCTTCTTGAGGAGGGGCCTCACCACCGCTTCCTTTAAAGGTTGCAGGAAAGACCCCTCCATCAAGGAGGCATTGATTATCGCCTGGAGCCAGCCTCGTGTCACCTCCCTACTGGCAGAAACCAGCCAGGAGGGGCACGGGTCCAATAAACAGGTGGCGGCATTCATTGCCCTCACGGCCTTGTCCACTTCATCAGGGGTCACAGGCTCAAACTCGCTCCAGATAACATGACTAAGACCAGCCCCCGGCAACTCGGCTGGCACTGCCCAGTCGGAGTCCAGGTCTCTCTGAATCTGAGCGATTTTGTCCGAAAGAAACTGAACAAACTCCTCAGCTCTCCCCTGCAAGGGTTCCTCTACCTCCTCCACTTTAAGAAGGGAGCAGGTAACCCTAAACAAGGCGGCCGGGCGAGATTCTGCGGATGCAATAAGTGCGGAAAAGTGAACACGCTTTGCCGCCCTTATCGCCACTAAATAAGTCCTAAGATAGGCTCTTAATAGTGATCGGTCAGATTCAGAGTTACTGGCCCTCCAACATCACTCTAGACGTCTCTTGTGGCACTTCATCTCCCGAAGCTCCTCAGTAAACCAAGGCGCCCTCCGGGGACCACCACCACAGAGAGGTCGCAAAGGTGCAATTCGATCCAGGGCCCTGGACGCCGCCTCATTCCAGGCTGCAACCAGGGACCCGGACGAGTTGTGGACAAGGGAGTCAGGTATTTCCCCAAGCTCCTCCTGGAACCGATCTGGGTCCATTAGGCACCTGGGGCGGAACCACCTAGTCGGCTCCCTCTCCCTGCGATGGGGGTGTGATGCTCTGAAGTCCAGCCTCAATAGGAAATGATCTGTCCATGACAAGGGCGAGATCTCTATTCCCCTTAATTCCAGATCATGTCTCCATTGCCCCGAGAGAAACACAAGGTCGAGTGTGTGACCACCCCTATGAGTCGGATCCTGAATTACCTGGGTCAGATCCATGGTTGCCATGGAAGCCATGAACTCCTGTGCCGCCTCTGAGCGATCGCCGAGTGATGGTAGGTTAAAGTCCCCCAGTACTATAAGTCTGGGGAACTCCACCACCAACCCGGCTACTGACTCCAGCAACGCAGGCAGGGCTGCTGCAACGCAGCTGGGAGGTAGGTACGTCAGCAGCAAGCCCAACTGAACCCGTGAACCCAACTTCAATAGGAGGGACTCACACCCAACAACCTCCGGGGCAGGAATCCCACGAGGACTCAAGGACTTCCGAGCGATGACTGCCACTCCCCCACCCCTGCCCTGATGTCGAGGCTGATGAAGCACCACAAACCCGTCCGGGCACATCTCCGAGAGGGAAACACCCCCCTCAGGGCCCAGCCAGGTTTCGGTTATACATGCCAAGTCCGCCCCGCTGTCCAATATTAAATCACGGACAAGGGGGGCTTTGCTGACAACGGACCTGGCATTAAGCAACAGCAGCCTACAATTAGGGCCCTGTACTCCCCTGTCACCAGTACTACAGGATGAGCCTTTTGAGGGGCTGGAACAAGGAATCGCTCTAACATCATGGCATTGTTTCAGAATGATGCCACAGAGGGGTCCCCCAGGAACATAGATGCAGTCTCGGAAACACAACAGGTCATCTGTGTACATCCAAGGGGTCTTATCTCCCTCATCGCCAGCCAACTCACGACGTCGAGCTGCCACGAATGTATCCTGCTGCTGCGTGTCACAAATTCTGCCCCGTAGGTCAATGGGCTCCTCTATGGCTGCCAACCTTTCCAAGGGGAATGTTCTGGGCATGATCTTGTCTTCCTTTCAGGTGATTTCAAGCTTCCGAGACAGCGCGTCCACACGCCTGCTAGGGACATAGGTCGCCTGAAATCTCGCAAAAAACAGTGACCATTGCACCTGTCGCTGATTTAGCGTTCTGGCAGTCCATAGGTGCTCTAGGTTCCAATGGTCTGTTCGAACCTCGACTTGGTGATGGGCCCCCTCTAAGTGGTGCCGCTATGTCTAAAATTGTTGATCACCAACAATTCCTTGTCCCAGATTGTGTAATTCCATTCGGGGGCCGACAGCTTCCGTGAATAATAGGCACATGGGAACAAGGTACCTGTGGGAGCATAGGCTTGCAGAAGCACCGCCCCGATGGCCACATCCGATGCATCCATCTCCACCATGAACAGCCTTAAGGGATCAGGATGTTTGAGGATAGGCTTGGAGGCAAATGCGGCCTTAAGGACATCCAAGGCCCCCTGCTCCTCTGCGCCCCAACAGAACTTCACCCTTTTCCTTAACAGATTGGAAAGGGGAGCGGTCAGGGTCACAAAACGATGAATGAATGTGCAGTAATACTTCGCCAACCCCAACAGATGTTGCACGTCCTTGACCCTCTGCGGAGGCTGCCATTCCTGCAGCAACTTTACTTTCTCTGGATCCATCTCCACACCCTCAGGCAAGATGCGATGGTCCAGAAAGTCAATCGTGGTTTGCGCAAACTGGCACTTCTCATGCTTGGCAAAGAGATGGTTATCCTACAATCGTTGCAACACAAGCCAAACATGGTTCCAATGCTCTCGTGGGGAGGACGAGTAAATCAGGATGTCGTCAAGATAGATGACCACAAACATATCCAACTGGTCCCTGAACACGTCGTACATAAAGTGCATGAACACTCCTGGTGCATTAGTCAGGCCAAAGGGCATAACTGTGTACTCAAAATGTCCATAACGCATCCGGAAGGCTGTCTTCCACTCATCTCCCGCTCGAACTTGGACTAAGTTATAAGCTCCCCGTAAGTCCAACTTAGTAAATATTTTGGCTTGGCGGAGCCTCTCGATGAGTTCGGGGATGTGTGGGAGTGGGTACCGATTATGGATCGTGATGGCATTCAGTTTCTGGTAATCACAGCACAGTCTAAGCTCCCCTGACTTCGTCTTCACGAAGAGCACTGGCACAGCCAACTGGTAGGTGGAAGGCCATATAAACCCCTTCCGGAGATTCTTGTTGATGAAATCCCTCAAAGCTGCCAACTTCAGTTCTGACAGAGAGTAAATCCAGCCAACCAGCAATTTGGCATTGGGCACTAAATCAACCGGGCAGTCATAAGACTGATGCGGGGGCAACTGATATGCCTCTTTTTCCCCAAAGACATCGGCATAATCCCCCAACTCTGCCAGTATGTCCAGGTCCACAGGGGTAGCCATCTTCCCTGCACAGACATGCAGGTGATAGGTGGCACACTTCTTGCCGGGGAACCACACTGTCCCAGATGACCAAATAATCTGTGGATCATGAGCCATTCCAGACCCAACACCACAGGAAAGTGAGAAGCGGTAGCCACATAGAACATATGTGGCCCAATACGCATGTGAAGGGGTCTGGTTGCAGCAACCACTGGGCTGGAATGAAGGGGCCGCCGATCAATTGTCTCCACCAAGACTGGCGGTGACAACTGCTGCTGGGGAATGGACCACTGCGTGACAAAATCTGAGTCCATGAATAGTTCAGCACCAAAGGCAGTTGCTTTTACAAGAAGATTCAACCATGTAAGTTTTTGGGTTGTTAGAGAGATTCTTCATGCACAGACATTGAAAATAAGAGCTGAAGTCCTAAGCCACTATATCAAAACTGTTAAGAAACTTTATAAACTAAATAATTTACATGCTCTTATGGCTTTGGTTTCTGGATTACAAAGTGCCCCCATCTTCAGGTTGACTAAAACATGGGCGTTACTGAGGCGAAAAGACAAAGCTTCTTTTGACAAACTGGAATACGTAATGAGCAAAGAGGACAATTATAAAAGACTTAGAGACTATATTAGTAGCTTGAAGATGACTCCTTGTATTCCTTATTTAGGTATTTATCTCTCAGACTTGACATATATTGACTCAGCATATCCATCAACAGGAAGTATTCTGGAAAATGAGCAGAGATCAAACTTAATGAATAATATTCTTAGAATAATTTCAGACTTACAGCAATCTTTTTTTTTTTTTTTTTTTTTTTTATTGAAATTTTTCAAAAGTTTTACAAATAAAAATCCACCCCCCCTCCCCAACCACCCCACCCCCCCCCGACTTCCCAGAACTGAATATAGGATTATTTAACAAATATTTTAAAAATAACATTTGCAATTTATAAAATAATTAATAATAATAATAAAAATCACAGTAATAATATATATAGAAATAATATACATAACATAAACTTTAAAATGAATAATATATACTAAAAAAGAAAAAAAAAATAAAAAATAAAAAGAGAAGAGAGAGAGAGAAAGAAGAAAGAAGAAAGTAGACGAAAAATAAAGCATATATATATATAAAAAAAAAAAAAATATGAATAATAATACATTAAAAATGTATATATATAAAAAAGAAAAAGAAGAAAGAAAGAAAGAAAAAACAATCATTACAAATTATAAAAAGGCTAAATAATATTTTTCCATATCCAAATTATGTTGTATAAAATTTATCCATTTTTCCCATACCGCAAAAAATTTTTCTTGAGATTGCTCCTTTAAGAAAGCCGAAATCTTTGCCATTTCTGCCAAATACGAAACTTTATGAAACCATTCTTGTAAAGTAGGCAAAGATTCCTTCTTCCAATATTGTCCTATTAACAACCTAGCGGCTGTAATCAAATTTAACATCAATATAACCTCCTTAGCATCACAGTCAATAACAATACCTAGTAAAAATAATTGCGGAGTAAATTTTACCCTTCTTTTAAAAATTCTTTGAATATTCCACCATATCTTAATCCAAAAAGCTTTTATATGCTTACACGTCCACCAAATATGGTAATAGGTAGCATCAAATATCCACATCTCCAGCATTTCGGCTGTAGATTAGGGTACATAATGGACATTTTCTTTGGGTCAAGGTGCCATCTATAAAACATCTTATAAAAATTCTCTCTTAAATTTTGCGCTTGTGTGAATTTAACATTTCTTATCCAAATAAGTTCCCAAGTATCCATTGAAATCGTTTCACCAATATTCTGTGCCCATTTAATCATACAATCTTTAACTAGTTCAAGTTCTGAATCTAATTCCACTAAAACCCCATAAACTCTCTTAATATGGGTTGGCCTTTGATCTCTTACTTGTTTTAAAAAAATTTCATCTTCTCTAAGCCAGCCCATTTTACAATCCATCTTCCATCTATCCACTATTTGTCTATATTGGAACCATGAATAAGTTAAGTTTTCATGTGTTAATTCTTCCAAAGATTTTAACTGCCAGTCTTGGCCATCCCATCTTAATAACTGTACGTAAGAGACCTTGTCCATATTTACCCCTTTCCTTATACCTTCTATGGCATGCCGAGGTATAGCCCATAATGGTATTTTGAAGTCACTTTTATAATACTTTCTCCACACTCTTAGCAAAGAGTTTCTTATAATATGAGACTTAAAAACCCAATCCACTTTTTTATTAAATATTAAATAGGCATGCCATCCAAAAAATAGGTCCCAGCCTTCCAAATGAAGTATTTCTGTATTTGTTAAATTCACCCAGTCGCTAATCAATGTCAATACTACAGCATCATAATACAATTTCATATTTGGTACCTTGAGACCACCTCTCTCACGAAAATCTTGCATTATTTTAAGTTTCACCCTTGGTTTTTTCCCTGCCCAAACAAATTTATTAATACCTTTTTGCCATTCATCTAAATTACGTTCGTTCTTTAAGATAGGTAACATTTGGAACAAAAAAATAAACTTTGGCAGGACATTCATTTTAATAACTGCAATTCTGCCCATAAGGGATAACTGTAAATTATTCCAGTTTTTTAAATCCTTCTGTACCTCCATCCACAGCTTTTCATAATTATTTTTATACAATTTTACATTAGAAGCAGATAATGTAACCCCCAAATATTTTACCTTATCAACAATTTCAAAGTCTGTTAAGTTAACTAGAGCCTGTTTATCACCATTAGTCATGTTTTTAGCTAATATTTTGGTCTTATTATTATTAATTTTAAAGCCAGAAACACGTCCATATTGTTGAATCAATTGTAATAATTTCACCACCGAAGAAACAGGTTGAGACAAAGTAACAACCAAGTCATCTGCAAAGGCTCTTAATTTATATTCTTTTTTATTAATTTCTATTCCTTTTATTTCTTGAGACTCCCGAATTTTAATCAACAAAATTTCCAGTGTTAAAACAAACAATAACGGAGACAACGGGCATCCCTGTCTTGTTCCTTTTTCTATTACAAAAGCCTCTGACAAACCCCCATTTACAATAATTTGAGCTTGATATATATTGGATAATACTTGTAATATATTTTGTCCAAAATTCATCTCCTTGATTAAACACAGCATAAACTGCCAATTCACTTGATCAAAGGCTTTTTCAGCATCCAAAAATATCAAGCCTGCAGAGACTTGGTTATTCTTTTCTAAATACTCTAATAAATTAATAATTTGTCTAACGTTATTCTTCATATACCTTCCAGTTATAAAACCCGATTGATCCCTATGTATAAACTGCTGCAAGATCCCCATAAGCCTGTTAGCTAAAATTTTTGCAAAAATTTTATAATCCACATTTAAAAGAGATATAGGCCTATAATTTTTAGGCAAAGTAAGATCTTGACTATCTTTTGGAATCAATGATATAAATGCATTACGCCAGGATGGAGGGATCTCTAACCCCTGTAATAAATTATTAAACAGTTCACACAACGGTTGAGTCATCTCTTCTACTAAAGCTTTATAATAAATAGATGTCAACCCATCCGTACCCGGCGCTTTGCCCAATTTCAATTGTTTAATAGCTGTAACAATTTCTTCCTTAGTAATTAAACCGTTAATCTTTTTTTCCTGATCTTCTGTTAATTTAGGAAAGTTAACTTTGCCTAAATAATTATTTATATCTGTAATTTGAATATTAGTACCCTTATATAATTTTTGATAGTATTCTAAAAAAGATTTCTTAATCAATTCTTTCTGATAAACCAATTTACCATTATAATTTATTTTATCTATATTCCTCTGTTTCTGTTTTTTTCTTAACTGATAAGCCAACCATCTCCCTGGTTTATTAGCATTACAAAATGTATTTTGTTTCATAAATAGCAAATTAGTTGCAGCTTGATCAGCCATCAGCATGTTAAATTGTGTTTTTAACAATTTTAAAGCTCCTTTAACCTTTTCATCTAAGGGATTTGAAATTAAAAGTTTCTCTTTTAATTTAATCTCCTCTTCCAAGTCTTTCCGTTTCTGAATCTGTTTCTGTCTATGCAAATTATTCATTTTTATCAAAATACCACGCATAAAAGCTTTACTTGCATCCCAGACCATTGACATTGATGTTCCCTTGTTCATATTTAAAGTAAAATATTCCTTTAAACATTCCTTTAATTTATGAACATTTTTTTCTTGTTTAAATAAATTCTCATTCACCCTCCAGGATCTCCTATCTTCCTTCTCTACAAACAGTTCCATCCAAACTGGACTATGATCGGACAATGTCCTAGGAAAAATTTTTACATTCTTCACCCTGTTGTATAAATCTGTTGTGATCAAAAAGAAATCAATTCTTGAGAAAGATTGGTGTCTATCTGAGAAAAACGTAAAATCCTTTTCTTCTTGATTACGTTCACGCCAATAGTCTCTCAATTCCCAATCTTCTTTCATGTCAAAAAAGGCTTTAGGTAATTTAGCCTGTTTAAAAAAGGTAGAAGAGCCTTTTTTGTCCATTTGTATATCTAAGACACCATTCCAGTCTCCCATTAAAATCACGGATCTATAGTCCAACAAAGTTATTTTCTGATGTAGTAACCTATAAAATTGCTCCTGTTGCTGGTTTGGTGCATACAACCCCACAATAAGAATTTTCTTGCCATATAAACCAAGTTCAAGCATAACATATCTTCCATAAGGATCTGATTCTAACAAGGTAGCAGATAAATTCTGTTTAACATAGATTACCACACCCCCTTTCTTCCCAGGGGCGGGAGATACAAAATGAGATCCCAAGCGAGGATTATTTAAATATTTTTGATCTTTAGCTGTAATATGAGTTTCTTGCAAGCAAATAATATCATTGTTGTGTTGTTTCAAATAGTGGTAAATTTTTTTTCTCTTTTGAGGAATGTTTAATCCATTAACATTCCAGGACAGGAGCTTTGCCATCTCCCTTGGCCTTCAGCCTGGAGAAGATCCGCTCAAATTCTGCTGCTGATGAATATGTAGCAGAGCTTTTGGGTCTTGCTCCTCCCACCGGCACTGAAGCAATTTGCTGAGTAGATTCTTCAATTTCTTTTTCTTTTTCTTTTTTCTGTTGTTCTTTTTCTTTACGTTTATGTGCTGCACGGGTCATTCTCTGTTCTTTAACCTCTGATTGAGACATCCATACCACCTGTCCAGCAGTCATCATCCCTGTACCTTCAGATTTCTGTTCCATCTCTTTGTCACTCAAGACTTTATGCATCATGGGCAAAGGAGAGCCTGCTCCCAGGACCGTTTTATAAAATTCCTTAGCTTTAGCAACTGTATTAAGTCTATAACGTGTCCCCGCATGGCTCAAAACAATGCCCATCGGAATCTCCCATCTAAATGGCATTTGTCTTGCTTTAAGTTCATTTACTAAAAAAGCAAAATCTTTTCTGCTTCTTAAAATTTTAGGTGGAATTTCCTTTAAAATAATAATATCTTGGGCAGCAATCTGAAATCTTTTATTATAAAAAATTTGTAGAATCTGATTTCGCAAAGACTTCTTAGCAAAATATATCACCACATCTCTAGGCAAATTCCTCTGTTTTGCAATCCAAGAATTAACTCTATAAATTCTTTCCACATCCCCACGTAACTCTTCTTTATCAATATTCAAAATAACAGCCAAGTCATTAATCACCATTTCCATCAAATCTTGAGTTTTATCTTCTTTCAGACCCCTTATTCTCAAAGCATATTCCATCTGTCTATACTGGAACATAAGAATATCATCTTGTGAAGTCTC